ATATATATATATATCTTCTAACCTTCATCTGTCATTGAATATACTGTATATTGGAAGCCTGAATCAGCAGATTGCTCAGTTACAGTCCTTTGTAAGAGCACGGGGCAATCAGAATGGGCGACACGTTCAAACGCACTCAAATACTGTGGTGGTTTCTCTTCAGGTGAGATGATGACCAGTATCTATTATGCCAGCAGTAGTACAGCAAATGGACAGTGGCAAAAGTATTGGATCAAACGAGTGAGATGCTGAGACAAAAAAAAAAAGAATCCAACTACTAAACATCCCTACTACAGCAGACAGATGTTGGAAGCACATGGATAATACAGTGCATTCGTCACTGGCATGCCTTAATTAAAGTGTATTTGCATCAAGACTGACAAAATAAGTTTCTTTCAAAATATTCAACGATTTTATTCCAACACTTACTGCAATGGATATCTGTAAGTGTGCCATATCTGCCTGCTGTGGAAGAGGGAAGTTTGGGAATTAAGCCACTATCCAGACGTTATCCTCAAGTAGGGCATGTGTGTAGCAAATTTCTGCAGATGAACCAGCTGAAATTCACACAGTTGGTGCCACTGCCTGCACCATTCCACCCGCCATCCCTCGATCAGCTGATTGAAGGAGCATGTTGAACAATTCTGTGCCAAACAGAGCTGCAAGCTCCATAAGCATTGATGGAGGAATCTGTTATATTTTCTTTTTTTTGTTAAGCCCACAGGTTGAACAAAGAAAATTATATACATGTATACCCAGCTTAATAATGACTGTCTCGCTGTCCTAAAATATTTTGCTAAAGGAAATGAATCTAATTTCTTAATATTTGGAAGGTACTGGCAAATTTAGACACCCAATGGTTTCTTATAACACTGATATCTTATGTGGGCGGGAAATCATGTCTAAAGTAATTGCAGATGGAAGGTTTTACTTGCAGCTTTATGCAGAGCAATGTGATCATGGTGCTTTTTCATAAGCATAAATACAGCAAAAGGAGCATGTTTGCATTGCTGTGCATTATTCACCCTTTAACAGCTACTAGATATAGGTGATGGCTATAGGTAGGGATGTGAAACAAAACAAACTGTTTTGGTCCTGAAAAAATGGTTTGTTGTGGTGCCATTTAATTTTGAATGGCACTCCAGTGCACCAAGTCATGCAGTGTACCAAGGCATTGTAGCGCGTTATTGCAAACAGTAATGTGTTGCGTTACAAAGAAAGGGTTATGTGCAAATTTTGCCCATCCTTGTGTGGATTGGCAGTCCATTCGAAATGAATGGGCTGTCTTAACACAATGCACAGATGTAAATGGGGCCTTAATATTCAAATTCTAATTTCTGGGTGAAGACTGTAAATCGCTCCTTTTTTTGTAAGATTTTATTTAGATGTTCAGTCCAACACTATACATCCAAACATGGTAGGGTTTTAAATTATGACAGACAGTCTGAGGTGTTACAGAATGGTAGACAAATGAATGCACCAACATATGGTAAGTTGTATAATCATACAGAGATAGTGAAAATATTTTTTTTAAAACCTCTCTTGTTCATGCAATGTGTTCATCATGCTGGGTATGTTGTTGGGGTATATTGCAGTGCAAAAAAAAGGGTGGGGCTGGAGGAAAGCATGGGGGGGGGCATTAAGCCCACTCATCCTGAGTCTCCTGGGCGCTCCCTCACAACAGTCCGACCACTATGTTGCCGCAGTCAACATTTATTGGATGGTGACTGACTCCCCAGGAGGTTGGAATTGATTTGATCAGAACTCATCAATAGGGGTAAAATGGGTCCAGGAAAACCACGTCGATCTGATTTTCTCTTCCAAATTTTTGATAGAGGCAGCGTCTTCCATGTCTAGGAGTTCTCAAACCTGGCAAACCCATAAATCCCTTTTTAACATATTGGGTAGTGTTGGCTAAATGGCAGAAGTGGGAATGGGGTGAATGCATGCAACCTTACAATGGAAAGCACCATATCTTTAGTATTTCAGGCTGCTACAGGTACAAACGCCTGAATGAAGTGTATTGTGACTCCTCTGGTTCATGCTGGTGACACTGCACAGCTACTATGGATGCCTGGGTCTCTACACACAAATGAAACGTGGGTAGCATTTCAATCAAGAATCCCGTGGATGCTAAGCTCTCCCCGCTTTGCAAGGCTGGTTTAAAGAGTAGTGGTGCTACTTCACAACTGTAGAAATAGAAAACATATGTACTGTTGGTACAACAGACCTCCACATGTATCACTTCTCCCTCCCTTTTAGATTGTAAGCCCTCACGGGCAGGGCCCTCCTTAACGTATTGAATTGTATTGTGATTGTAATGTCGTTCTTCTTGTATTTTAAGGCGCTGCACAAACTGTTGGTGCTATATAAATCCTGTATAATAATACATGGGCCAGATTTGTATAGCCCTTATTTGTTCTATGTCTTGATAATCCTAATCCTCTGGTTTTTCTTTCTAGTCAAAGCTGGCATCAATGTCTAATGACTTCAAGTCTGTATTGGAAGTAAGAACAGAGGTAAGTTGTTTTTTTTTTTTTGTTTTTTTTTTAAATTCGCTGCACCAAATTATAAAAGTCTGCCATACATGGAGCTATCTGATTTTTTGGAAATGCACGATTGTCCCTTCACCTACCATGCGTATCCACCAATCGGGTTATTCAGATTATCTTCCCAGCATATCTACGGGACTTTGAGTAGAACATGGAGATTGTTGCCTTTCTTAGCAAAGATATATAGGCAATCTGATTTTAAAATTTCCAACTTGATGGTCTTTTGCACTGCTGATTCCAGTAACTTGAAGCTCACAACTGTTTGCTTTACATGCACTGCGAGACTATTGCATGAGTGAGTGAAAAAGATTGTATTGTGTAATATCCCATTTTTGGCCACCACAGCTACTTCTCTTTGTTAACCCAACTTTTATTCCTTTGTTTTCCTTCTCAGAACCTAAAGCATCAGCGAAGTCGCAGGGAGCAGTTTTCTCAGGGTCAGGTCTCTGCTCTACCCCACCATCACAACAGCATGGGTATGTGTGCTATATTTTATTTGTTTTTTGTCGCTTTATTGACTGACACCATTAGGATTATTCATTACATGCTACAAGTAAGTATGATGTTCAGAAGCATATGGCAACCAAAAAAAATAGGATTTTTGTACCCGCCATAAAATCCTTTTCTTGGAGGCTATTGAAGGACATAGGAATTCAAATACTGTAGGGTTATACTGCCACCTACAGGTTGTTTGGGCACTGGCAAACAAAACAAAACTTTGTCAGCCCTGGATTACACCTGCCATGTCTGCATGCCTCAGTTTTTTGGCAAAGCAGTTCTGAGAGCATGGTCATGAACACTTAGGGGCAGCATCTGTGTCCCTTAATGGACTCCAAGAAAAGGATTTTATAGCTAGTACAAAAATCCTAATCCTAAATAAGACCAGTTCGTCTAAATGGGAAGGCTTTAAGCCTTTACATTCCTGACCACCTAGGATCAAGGGACACGAACTCTGTAATTTAAATTGTCTGGACAAACTAACCTCGCTAAGTGATGCTTACCAAGGGAAACCCTAAATTGGTTAAAACACAACAGACTAATCTTAATGGAAGTCAAGAGGAAGAATCCAAAAACAAAAAGGCTAGCAAAACTGGTTGGACTTTTTTTCTGCAGAGCTGAAGTAAAAGACGTCCATACTCCTAGGACACTGGCAAATAACTAAGGCATGCAGGAATAAAGAGGGATTGTCCTGGGCTGGCCTACCATTTTATGTTTGGCTCCTGTATGCGGCAGTATAACCCGACAGTATATGAATTCCTGTCACTCAATGGAGTAGAGACTACAGTACGGTAGTCCATTGCCGTGAGTTTCAACTCTTTATTAATATTATATAGGATTTATATAGTGCCAACTATTTGCGCAGCGCTTTACAAAATGGAGGAGACAGTACAGTTATAATACAATTTAGGTACAATAGGGTTAGGAGGGCCCTGCTCATGAGAGATTACAATTCTTGTTCTTTACAGTACCTTCCTCGGAAAGTCCATTTAAGCATGTTTTAATTTTTTTAAGTAACCAACAGCACTTTTTATTCTGTTCCACCTTTTACACATACCTTATTATTTTAGCTCAGATTTGCATTATTGCTTGTTTCTTACTGCAGGTCCCTCCGTCCTCCTACAAGATGACTCTCGCAGGCATGGGGATGTGACAATAGACATGGACTCAAAAGTTAGTCAGCAGTTGCAGTTAATAGATGAGCAGGTAAGAGCAGTGGACATTTTTTTTTTATGAAGGGGCAGTTGTTGTCTTGACATCCATATTGTTTACTAATGCGATTTGGTTAATCCTTATTTCAGGATTCCTATATTCAGAGTCGAGCAGACACGATGCAGAACATAGAATCCACCATAGTTGAACTGGGTTCAATCTTCCAACAGCTGGCTCATATGGTAAAGGAGCAGGAAGAAACTATACAACGGTGAGTACCTGAAGACAGCCTTATAATTGGACACTTTTATTTGCTCCTGCTCTTCTGTCTAGATTTGTGTTGCCTTCAAATCCATCTTATAGCTGTTACATATATTTCATTGTGTTTCAACAGGATTGATGGGAATGTAGAAGAGACGCAGCTGAATGTGGAAGCAGCCCACTCTGAAATCCTGAAATACTTTCAGTCTGTCACATCAAACCGCTGGCTCATGATCAAGATATTTCTTATACTTATCGTTTTTTTCATCATATTTGTGGTCTTCCTGGCTTGAGACAACCAACCCCCCCCCAAATCAGAACAGCGGTCCACACACACTCCATGCTACCTCCAGACAGCCTGGTCCTATGAAACCACAGGAAAATCGCAGTGTTGTCACCTTGTATGCATGTGGATTGTGGCTATTGCGTGGGGGACATAAATTGTGTGTGGCTTTTTTTTTCTTTTCTATTTAGTATTGGTACCACAGTAGGTCCTACTGTGGTACCAGCACCTTTAAAAATATCAAGTGCACATTTGATGGTATGATGAAAGAATATACAGTTAGTGACTGTGTGTGTATGTGTGCATAATATATATATATCTCTACCTATATATAGATTTTAGGCCTTGTAAATATAGATGCGTACACACACAGTCATAAGTGGATTGCGAAGTGAAAGTGGTGTGTGTGTGTGTGTGTGTGTGTGTGTGTTTGTATATTGCTTATGAATGGCTGAACGGTTGACACATATACATACACAAATGCTATGTTATTTGCCAATGTACGTGAGGTGAATGAGTGAGAATGTGTGGCCATGATTGTATGAGAGTTGAGTTGACATTTCTGAGGTGTCTTACTGGAACTCCCTAAAATCAACCCAAGGCATGTGAAAGGATCAGCCAGCCTCCTTCTCTTCAATATATATACTTCTTTTTCTTATTTTAATCTTTTTGTAGACAGTTTTTGCTTTTAAATTATTAATTATTCCTTAGCATTAACAAATTGCTAACACACAGGTGTAAATTTGCCCTCTCTCAAAGGGGAAGGTCCTGTCTAGATGGATTAAATGATCCGGGAGAGGCGGTTATATTTTTAAAACATTCCAGAACTCAACCATGGAGGACTCCATAACCCCTCTACTCAAATGCCTTAGGATAAAGACTGTGACCTTCATATGATGTACACATTGTATATAATACAGATGGCAGAATAATACACATTTCAGCTGAACTGTTTGTGTTTGCATTGTTTATTTGTACAGTTGCAGATAAAGAATAAGTGCACCTTATGATAAAAATCATGTTGTTCCTCATTCCTATTTTATACAATGGCAGCAGTTTTTAGTGCTGGACATTAATTTCTCTTTTCATATAGGACAGATGTTCCTTGTAATCCCTTCAAGAAAACACAGTTGCTTATATTTTCTGTTCTATGAAAAAGACATTCCCTTCCAGAGGCAATTCCTTATTTTGGAGTTTTCTTCCTGGAAATGTCCCCATTTTTGAAAATGATTAAACTTGATAAAACCCATGCTTTTTTAAAGTCAGTGATTTTTTTTTTAAGCTAGACTTTTTTTAAGATGCAAGAAACAATGTTTTGGTGCATTGGTAGGCTATATATTATACAGTGAGTGTATATACTAATGGAGAAGTGTAAAGGATATCGGCCAGATGCTCACCTAAAAGATGTGCAACCAAGGGCCCAAATATTTCTCTACCCTTTTGGGCCCTGTATGGATTATCTGCCTGTGAGCTTTGCCATCCTCCCGGACAGCACATTAAGCACCGCCATCCACCACGTTAATGCCTCTGCCTATTGTTTGAGAACAGGCAGGTGTTTGAAACTGACACCCTGAGCCTGTTGAATCCCAGAGATGCATTTAAACATCAAGGGTATTTAGTATATTATTTTAGTGACAAACTGGAGTTTAGTATTATGCTATTGAAAGACTATAGAACCAGTAGGTGGTTGTCAAGAGTAGGTATGTCAAAGGGCTCATTTAAACCAATGTGTTTTAACATGCATTAGTGCATGTGCACAGGTTTGACTTTGTTTTTAATTGTGCTAGTTCACATATGTGTGGTGACTTGATAAGCATTGGCCTAAAAGTTAATGTCTGTTTTTGGTTTTTTTTTTTATTTCTTTATCAGTCAATTGAAATGGCAGCACACATAAATGCATGACAACACACACGCGTCCAAAGTAATAACAAAAAAGCAAGATAAAGCAGACACTTATACAGTATCTCACAGAAGTGAGTACAGCCCTCACATTTTTGTAAATATTTGATGATACCATTTCATGAGACGACACAGAAGAAATGACACTTTGCTACAATGTAAAGTAGTGAGTGTACAGCTTGAATATCAGTGTACATTTGCTTTCCCATCAAAATAACTCAACACACAGCCATGAATGTCTAAACCGCTGGCAACAGAAGTGAGGACACCCCTAACTGAAAATGTCCAAATTGAGCCCAAAGTGTCTATTTTGTGTGCCCACCATTATTTTCTAGCACTGCCTTAACCCTCTTGGGCATGGAGTTCCCCAGAGCTTCACAGGTTGCCACTGGAGTCCTCTTCCACTCCTCCATGACGACATCACGGAGCTGGTGGCTGTTGGAGACCTTGCGCTCCTCCACCTTCCGTTTGAGGATGCCCCACAGATGCTCAATAGGGTTTAGGTCTGCAGACATGCTTGGCCAGTCCATCACCTTTACCCTCAGCTTCTTCAGCAAGGCAGTGGTCGTCTTGGAGGTGTGTTTGGGGTAGTTATCATGTTGGAATACTGCCCTGCCGGCCCAGTCTCCGAAGAGAGGGGGATCATGCTCTGCTTCAGTATGTCACAGTACATGTTGGCATTCATGGTTCCCTCAATGAACTGTAGCTCCCCAGTACCGGCAGCACTCATGCAGCCCCAGACCATGACACTCCCACCACCATGCTTGACTGTAGGCAAGACACACTTGTCTTTGTACTCCTCATCTGGTTGCCGCCACACATGCTTGGCACCATCTGAACCCAATAAGTTTATCTTGGTCTCATCAGACCACAGGACATGGTTCCAGTAATCCATGTGCTTAGTCTGCTTGTCTTCAGTAAACTGCGGGCTTTCTTGTGCATCATCTTTAGAAGGGGCTTCTTTCTTGGACGACAGCCATGCAGACCTTCTTCCTTCCTTCATACCTTTGCCTTCTGAGGTGCTGCTGCTTCTCATTTAGCAGCTGTATTATTACCTTTATTTACTTTCTACACAGAAGGGCTGCAGTGTTCAAAAGCCACTTTGTATGGGATAGGGATGTCCCGATACCATTTTTTTCAAGAATAAGTACTTTCCCTCAGGTACTTGCTGATACTAATTACCAATACTTTTTATTAAAGGGACATTTTTTCTAAAACAACACAGATTAATGATTTTAGGGTAGTTGCTTTATAATTATGAAGAACTGTAACTCAATTCATGATTATTCAGCAATGGAGAATGGCAACCAGCAATAGAGGACTACAGATCTCATCAATCCATGATTATACAGCAATTATACAGGACTGTGTGTGGCCTCACCGGGGCTGCATGTGGGTGCTGGACTCTCTGCGGGTGGGTCCCGTGCTCGGGGGCTGTACGGGTGGTGTGGGGCTGTCCAGTTTTCTGCCTGTCTCTGCAGGCGCTGGGAAGGAGAATCTGGAGATGTGGAGTCGGCGCTGTCGAAGACAGCTACGGCAAGGTCCCCAGCAAACACGGGACCTCAGGAAGCCAAACCTGTTAAAAAATTTTAAGGCCCGTATCGGCTTTTAGTATTGGTGCATTTTCACGAGTACAAGTACTTAAGAAAATGCCCAGTATCAGCCCTGTTACTGATACTTGTATTGGTGTTGGGACATCCCTAGTATGGGAGAGGCAGGACTTTTTCTATGACAGAGCAGCACTGATTCCCTCTCTAATCAGCAGCCGCTTTGTGTGCAGGTCCCTGCTTCAGAAGCAGCAGGTGACATCACCAGCACTGCTTCCCAGGCTTTTTTTGTCAGCATAGAGGAAATTGACTTGCTTCTCTGAGGGGTGGTAAGCCTGCTGGGACCCCATTCATCCCTGTTGGGTTAAGGGTTGTGATGCTGGGGCATGGCAGACCCTGTCAGGAGTGGTGCTGGTGGAGTGGGCACTGAGGTATGCTGTCTGACATGAGGGGGCGGGGGGGTTATCCCTCAGTTAGGCTTTGTTTGTTCCACCTGTAAATCCTTGCAGACCCCTGCTGCACTCTCAGGTTCTTGTCCGGGGGACTCTGGGATCCTGAGTTCATCCTTTCCTATGGTAACTCTTCTGTTTTGGAAGTTTAAGTTTTGTCTGTGGAGCAAGTTTTTAATAAAAAGCAAAGTTAAAAGCTACTACACTTCGTGGTGGGGAGGACCATTTTCAGCTTGTGGCCCTTCCATTTAGCCTTGCCTTAGCCCCACAGGTATTCACACAAGTCTTGGCAACAGTCTTTGGCTTGTCGAGACAGTGGGGGATATTGGTGATGGCTTACTTGGATGATTTCCTTCTTCAGTTGGATTCTCAGTCGGATCTGGAAATTAATCTTCGGATCAGCATTCACACTGTGGAGGAGTTTGGATCCTGAATCTGTCAATCGTCCTTTATTTCATCCCTTTGCCTGCAGTATCTGGGACTGATCCCGGGTACACATATCAAGCCAAGATTTTCCTTCCTCTGGAAAAGATTCACAGGCTTCGGCTTCTGATTCACGTATTTGTTTCTTTCAAATGGGCAACGATTCACACTTTTGTATAAGAGTTCTGGGTCTAATGGTTGCCTCCTTCGAGGCAGTTCCATGTGTGCAACATCATACTCTGATTCTGCAGAGAGGGTTTCTTCAACAATGTGACAAGTCACCCTCTTCGGTGGACAGACAAACCAGATGGGCAAAGCCTCTGCCTTGGTGGCTTAGTTTCCCTGCTCTGAATAGGAGGTAATTTGTTCCAATGCACTAGAAGGACGCCAGTTTTACCTGCTGGGGCGGAGTGACCAGTCAGTTGTCAGCATAGGGGCTCTGGTCCAAGGAGGAGGCCAGGTTACCGATCAATGTTCTAGAGTTGCGGGCGGTCACCCTCTTGTCTTTTACATTGGATGACTCTATTACTGGGGCACCTGGTCAGAGTTCAATCAGACAATGCTACTGTGGTAGCATATGTGAATCATCAAGGAGGTATGAGGAGCCAAGCAGCAGCACAGACAGTGTCTCACATACTTTGTTGGGTGGAAAGATGTGTACCGGCTCTGTCTGCTGTTTACATTCCAGGGGTAGTCAATTGGCAGGCGGATTATCTCAGTCATTAAGGCTTGAATCAAGGAGGAAGGGCTCTACATCTGACAAATTTGAATTTTTTCTTCAGATTTGTCAGAAATTGGGAACTCCGGATGTGGATCTTCTGGCCTCTTCTGATTGAATCAGAAAGTACAGAACGTTGTGTCTGAA